GTTTGTTAACATGAAACAGGCTGAAGAGAGTAACATACACTTGGGTGTACTTAGTCTCTCACCAGAACTCATATCTTATACACAGCATCCGTTTCATTTTCAAACCTATTTCATGTCTAAGTCCACAATTGGCTGACTTGAGTGTTGTAAACGACGTCCACAACCCCATGTCGTGGATTACGTGTTAGTCTGGGATATACTTGACAGATTAATGAGAGCTGTTGTCTGTATCTCCAGGATGGGAGAGCTCTCAGAAAAAGGCAGAAAAAACTCCACATCTTGTACAGTAATTTGTTTTGATAAATGACGAAGCTTGTAGAGACATGCCACATCTTTTGTTGCATTGTTCAGTATAGTTTGGAATGTTTGTTTCAGCGATTGAACATAGAACAACTGATGATAAACGTTTCGGTACCGTAAAGCAAATATAATGCATTACCTCAGTCTGAAATATCGGACGTGGACACTTCCACAAATACTAATATGTCACTGGGGCCGCGACTGATCGGACAAATTTGTAGCTTTAATGATTGAGACAGACCTGTTTCCGACAGTTTTCTGTGTGGGTATGAAGAATTGCGAACACACGAGCAGTGTAAAATGTGTACTTGTTTCTATATTATGTAGAATATATAGATAGTGTTCAATATCAGTAGGGGCGGTGGGGTAGCCTAATGGTTAAAGCGTTGGCTCGTCACGCCGAAGACCCGGGTTCGAATCCCCACATGGGTACTATGTGTGAAGCCCATTTCTGGTGTCCCCCGCCGTGATGTTGCTGGAATAGTGCTAAAAGCGGAGTAAAACCAAACTCAGTCAGTCAGTCAGTCAATATCAGTATCATCGGGGAGATGAATGGACAGTGTAGTGTTCGCATTCACTTTTACATGGAGAATGTTTGGATAGTGTTCGCCATCACTTTTACATGGAGAATGTTTGGATAGTGTTCGCCATCACTTTTACATGGAGAATGTTTGGATAGTGTTCGCCATCACTTTTACATGGAGAATATGTGGATAGTGTTTGTTATCACTGTCATATTGAGAACGAATTGATTGTGTTTATCACCACTATAATGTGGAGAATGATACCATTGTAGATACATATTTGTTGGATATTATTATCGGGAAAGTATTGTTTGTGTTAAATATCACTGTCAGAGAGATGATGTATTGACTGTATTACATAACACCACCGAATGAGTCACAATCTAAATATACAATGCAAGTCTCAAGAATAGCTTGCGTCTCAATTTAGCCTGTTCCCACGGTTTTCGATCAGTCAGAGCCCAGATAATGCTGTATATATCTTTCCTGAACACATTTAGCATCGTATTTCTAATTTTAAAACGTAATGAAACTTCTCACGTTTCTAGATATATATTATCAATGAGATTCCGTGTGAAGTATTGACGGCTGAACTAATAGTAAATGAGCGAGTTGCCTCTGTGTACTCTGTATACATAAACAGCGACTGTAGTCGTCACTGCCAAACCCTCAGATAAGCCAACGCACTACCACGTCTCCAGTAAGCGTCGTCGCTGTAGATGGTGTAGTTTCCACCCGTGTTTGGTTGTGTTTGTGTGTATACAAGGACATTCCCAGGCCGATATCCAGAGCACTGCACTAAGTCACACCTGAGCCCCTCCTGGTTGCCCTTACACAGTTGGAAAGTGTTAAGTGAAATTACTACAAGTGTGCCCTTAACAACAGACAAATAAAAGTGTCATGGCTTCAACGCACCTTACTAACAGACACTTGTAAGTGAAATTAATACAAGTGTACCCTTAACAATAGACAAATAAAAGTGTCATCGCTTCAACGTACCCTATTAACAGACACTTGTAAGGGACATTACTACAAGTGTACCCTTAACAATAGACAAATAAAAGTGTCATCGCTTCAACGTATACTACTAATAGACACTTGTAAGTGAAATTACTACAAGTGTACCCTTAACAATAGACAAATAAAAGTGTCATCGCTTCAACGTACCTTACTAACAGACACTTGTAAGTGAAATTACTACAAGTGTACCCTTAACAATAGACAAATAAAAGTGTCATCGCTTCAACGTACCCTACTAACAGAAACTTGTAAGTGAAATTACTACAAATGTACCCTTAACAATAGACAAATAAAAGTGTCATCGCTTCAACGTACCCTACTAACACACACTTATATGTGAAATTACTACAAGTGTACCCTTAACAATAGACAAATAAAAGTGTAATCGCTTCAACGAAACTTACTAACAGACACTTGTAAGTGAAATTACTACAAGTGTGCCCTTAAGAATAGACAAATAAAAGTGTCATCGCTTCAACGTACCTTACTAACAGACACGTGTAAGTGATATTACTACAAGTGTACCCTTAACAACAGACAAATAAAAGTGTCATCGCTTCAACGTACCATACTAACAGACACTTGTAAGTGAATTTACTACAAGTGTATCCTTAACAACAGACAAATGATAGTGTCACCGCTTCATCGTATACTACTAATAGACACGTGCAAATGAAAAGGCCTACAGATGCACATACCAATAGCCAGGTATTAGTGTCGTCACCAGGCACGTGTACAGTTTAATGCTAGACACTTACGTGGAATTAGTGTAACTGTACCCTTAATAACAAATAAATGAAAGAGCCATACAGCCATACAGCCTGTAAATATAAAAAAGCCTTGTAAGTGAAATTACGGTAACATTGCATAGTTATCACCCATCCTCCTCGAGTGCCTACACCTCCATGAGTCACCAGTACTGCATAGTGCCTACACCTGCAAGTGTCGCCAATCCTGCCTAGTGCCTACATCCGCAAGTGTCACCAATCCTGCTTAGTGCCTACACCTACAAGTGTCACCAATCCTGCCTAGTGCCTACACTTACAAGTGTCACCAATCCTGCCTAGTGCCTACACCTGCAAGTGTCACCAATCCTGCCTAGTGCCTACACCTACAAGTGTCATTAGTCCTGCGTAGTGCATACACCTCCATGAGTCACCAATCCTGCCTAGTGCCTACATCCGCAAGTGTCACCAATCCTGCTTAGTGCCTACACCTACAAGTGTCACCAATCCTGCCTAGTGCCTACACCTACAAGTGTCACCAATCCTGCCTAGTGCCTACACTAACAAGTGTCACCAGTCCTGCTTAGTGCCTACACCTACAAGTGTAACCAATCCCGCCTAGTGCCTACACCTACAAGTGTCACTAGTCCTGCTTAGTGCCTACACTTACAAGTGTCACCAATCCTGCCTAGTGCCTACACCTACACGTGTCACCAATCCTGCCTAGTGCCTACACCTACAAGTGTCACCAATCCTGCCTAGTGCCTACACCCGCAAGTGTCACCAATCCTGCCTAGTGCCTACACCTGCAAGTGTCACTAGTCCTGCCTAGTGCCTACGCCTCCATGAGTCACCAATCCTGCCTAGTGCCTACACCTCCAAGAGTAACTAGTCCTGCCTAGTGCCTACGCCTCCATGAGTAACCAATCCTGCCTAGTGCCTACACCTCCATGTGTCACTAGTCTTGCCCAGTGCCTACACCTCCAAGACTCACTAGTCTTGCCTAGTGCCTACACCTCCAAGAGTAACTAGTCCTGCCTAGTGCCTACACCTCCAAGTGCCTACACCTCAAAGACTCACCAGTATGATCACCAGGCCCACCCACTGCTTACACCTGCATGTGTCTATACCTGTTTGCTATATCCGACCTACTCTTGTGGCTACACCTGTATGGTCACCAGGTCCACCCACTGCCTACACCTGCATGTGTTTATACCTGTATGCTATATCCGACCTACCATTGTGGCTACACCTGCACGTGTCATTGTCGCCCTGGACCTGTCCTAGTCGTAATATTTGTCACTGTGACCACATCACCTGCCACACCTGCCAAATTGCCCACATCTGCATGTGTCTCCATAGTGTCATGGACCGCCTCCGTGGTGTAGTGGTTAGAGCCTCCGCCCGGAGAGCGGAAGGTCGCGGGTTCGATGCCCGACCGCGTCATACCAAAAGACGTTAAAATATGGTACTTGTTGGTCCCTGCCTGGCGCTCGGCATTAATGGGCACAACAAGGACTGGTCGGCTCGGAGTCAGTATAATGTGTCTGAGTGGGGTATTCCTGCTTCACTGCGGCATGGTATCTCAGTGGGCTAGCACTATAAAACCAGCTTAAGTCTGGGCTAGTACAAACAGCCGCACGTACACATACACACGCATGCACGTCGTCATATAAGCGAAATATTCTCAAGCACGACGTAAACTCCAATTTCACCTCACCTCATCATAGTGTCATCTAAGTGCCTGCGCGTGTCACTGCCGAGTTAACAACAACACGTGCTTTATCTCCGAAGGAGCGTGTGTGCACGCCCGGCTATTATGCTTCAATTCAGGAAAACAAACAGAGAAGCGGAACGTAGACATTTCCAGTGTGCCACCCACTCGCTGCATTACGTGGAGCTATCTGGTGGGGTGGGAGAGGCCCTCTCGCCCATGTACAACACACTAAATCACGATAAAAGGATCATGAGATTTAATATGATAGTATACGGACATGTTAATGGAGAGACCCATGCATGTAACGATCTCCTTGACCACGCAGCTTACCCGTGAACATCCGGGTACGTATTGGTCTTCAGCGACCCACGCTTGTCGCAAGAGTCGACTGCCGGCTTTGAATATTGCTGAGTGTTGCGTTAAACAAGAAGAGAAAGACGTAGCTAAGGAGTGCCAGCCACGGCAAGGGGTTATACAACCATCACAACCAAATACAAAATGGACCTATCTCACTCACAGACATATCTCACTCACTTACTCAGAACCAAAACTGAAAATTAAAGCGCTAAAGCATTGAGTGGAATTATCTCACGCCTGGATCTATCTTACACGCAAATAGCAATTGATGTGCATTGCTAACTGTTATATAGACATGACCCCGTCCACGGTCTCACGTCTACACTCAGCCAATCATTTGTCCACTGTCTCACGTCTTCACTCAGCCAATCTTTTGTCCACTGTCTCACATCTACACTCAGCCAATCTTTTGACCCCGTCCACTGTCTCACGTCTACACTCAGCCAATCTTTTGACCCCGTCCACTGTCTCACGTCTACACTCAGCCAATCTTTTGACCCCGTCCACTGTCTCACGTCTACACTCAGCCAATCTTTTGACCCCGTCCACTGTTTCACATCTACACTCAGCCAATCTTTTGTCAACTGTTTCACATCTACACTCGGCCAATCTTTTGACCCCGTCCACTATTTCACATCTACACTCAGCCAATCTTTTGTCCACTGTCTCACATCTACACTCGGCCAATCTTTTGACCCCGTCCACTGTTTCACATCTACACTCAGCCAATCTTTCTGTCCCCGTCCACTGTTTCACATCTACACTCAGCCAATCTTTTGACCCCGTCCACTGTCCTCTCATCATGACCCATTCATTCCAGCCACCTACACTCAGCCTTTTGACCCCGTCCACTGTTTCACATCTACACTCAGCCAATCTTTTGACCCCGTCCACTGTCTCACGTCTACACTCAGCCAATCTTTTGACCCCGTCCACTGTCTCACGTCTACACTCAGCCAATCTTTTGACCCCGTCCACTGTCTCTACACTCAGCCAATCTTTTGACTACACTGTCTCAGCAATCCAATCTTTTGACCCCGTCCACTGTCTCACATTTACACTCAGCCAATCTTTTGACCCCGTCCACTGTCTCACGTCTACACTCAGCCAATCTTTTGACCCCGTCCACTGCCTCACGTCTACACTCAGCCAATCTTTTGACCCCGTCCACTATAGCTCACGTCGACTTCAATCAAGCCCTTTACCTCGCCCACTTAGTTGCAAACAACGAAGAATGTAAGTCATTTATTAGTCACTTCATTACTTCATTACTTCATTACTCAGCCAGCCTTCTGGACGATTACTGTACGTCTTGGCAGAAGTGAAGTAACGGCAATAAAACGGGGAAAACAGTTAATTAGGCAATGTCTAGTGGAATGGGTCTCCCTCCGGGTTACATGGGTGACAATCTAAAGCAGCAGAACAAGGAGTAGGAGGAGAAGGATAAGAAGGGGGGGGGGAGGGTAAAGGAGGAGACAAGGAGAAGGAGACGGACAATGAGAACTAGGGGAGGGCTAGGTGAAGGAGGAAGACAAGGAGAAGGGAAGGAGGAAGAGAACAAGGGTAAGGAGAACTCTGGTATAAGAAGGAAGAGGACAAAACAAGAAGGAGGAGGACAAAACGAAGGAGGGGAGGACAAGATGAAAGAGGAGAGGGAGGACAAGGATAAGGAGGAAGCCACGGATAAGGAGGAAGAGGACATGGATAAGGAGGAAGAGAACAAGAAGATGAAGAAGGAGGAAAAGGATAAGAAGGAGCATAATGAGGAGGGTAAGGATAAAGAGGAGGACAAAGATAAGAGGGAGGAGGACAAGGACAAGAGGATGATTACAAGGATAAGAAGGAGTACGACAATAATGAGAAGGAATAGGAAGGAGTAAGACAAGGATAAGAAGAGTAGGACAAGGATAAGAGGAGGATAACTAGGATAAGAAGGAGTAGGACAATGATGAGAAGGCGTAGGACAATGATGAGAAGGAGTAGGACAATGATGAGAAGGAGTAGGACAATGATGAGAAGGAGTAGGACAATGATGAGAAGGAGTAGGACAATGATGAGAAGGAGTAGGACAATGATCAGAAGGAGTAGGACAATGATAAGAAGGAGTAGGACAATGATAAGAAGGAGTAGGACAATGATAAGAAGGAGTAGGACAATGATAAGAAGGAGTAAGACAATGATAAGAAGGAGTAGGACAATGATAGGAGTAGGACAATGATAAGAAGGAGTAGGACAATGATAAGAAGGAGTAGGACAATGATAAGAAGGAGTAGGACAATGATCGGAAGGAGTAGGACTATGAGAAGAGGGAATATTACAAGGATAAGAAGATGGAGGAGAATGATAAGAAGGAGTAGGACAAGGATACGAGGCAGGATTACAAGTATAAGAGTTAGTAGGACAATGATGAGAAGGAGTAGGACAATGGTGAGAAGGAGTAGGACAAGGATAAGAGGGTGGATTACTAGGATAAGAGGAGGATTACTACGATAAGTAAGGTAGGACAAGGATAAGAGGAGGATTACAAGGATAAGAAGGAGTAGGACAATGATGATAAGGTGTAGGATAAGGATAAGAAGGAGTAGGACAATGATGATAAGGTGTAGGATAAGGATACGAGGGAGGATTACTAGGATAAGAGGAGGATTACTAAGATAAGAAAGGTAGGACAAGGATAAGAGGCAGGATTACAAGGATAAGAAGGAGTAGAACAATGATAAGAAGGAGTAGGACAAGGATAAGAAGGAGAAAGACAAGGATAAGAGGGAGGATTACAAGGATAAGAAGGAGTAGGACAATGATGAGGAGTAGGAAGGAGTAGGACAATGATAAGAAGGAGTAGGACAATGATAAGAAGGAGTAGGACAATGATAAGAAGGAGTAGGACAAGGATAAGAGGGAGGAGGACAATGATAAGAAGAGTAGGGCAATGATAAGAGGAGGATTACAAGGATAAGAAGGAGTAGGACAAAGATAAGAAGGAGTAGGACAATGATAAATAGGAATAGTACAAGGATAAGAGGGAGGAGGACAAGGATAAGAAGGAAGAAGACAAGGATAAGAGGTAAGAAGGCAAGGATAAGAGGGACAAGGATAAGAAGGAGAAAGGACAACGTCAAGGAGCAGGATAAGGATACAAAGAAATAGGATAAGGACAAGAAGGAGGAGGACAAGGTTACGAGGTGAAGAAGGAGGTACATTTCGCTTTTATGAGCCAGGGAAGCATAGGTGTTTGAATGGCATTTAGAAGTGATATACATAAGGAAGAGAGTTGTTATGGATGTCAACTTCTTTATTATGAGGAACACAACGTTTTGGAGTATATCCTTACTCCTTCATCAGGTGAATCAGGAAAGCATAGTAATCCATAATATTGAGGACGTCTTGAGACCAGACTGAGTGGGTGACTCAGCATATTCTGCGCCACTTGTAGCAATAATAACACAACATTAGCTGTGGACACCACAAATCGACATTATGCCCATGTCGGGAATCGAAACCAGGTCTTCGTCGTGGCGAGCGAGCGTTTCAACCACCATCTACCCCACCAACCCATTTAGACCAGGGGTTTACAAGCGTATGACTTTTAAATACATTTGTGTAGTTTTGACATGTACAACATGATGGAAGTATTTCTTAAATGATTCGGGCGGTGGGGTAGTCTAATGGTTAAAGCGTTGGCTCGTCACGCCGAAGACCCGGGTTCGAATCCCCACATGGGTACAATGAGTGAGGCCCATTTCTGGTGTCCCCCGCCGTGATATTGCTGGAATTTTGCTCAAAGCGGCGTAAAACCAAACTCAGTCAGTCAGTCAGTCTTAAATGATTCTATTAGGGCATTCTTGTAAACATTCATGTTAAAATACCCTGCCTGATAGTGCCTGATAACAGCGTCTGTAAGTAGTATCGGTATACCGACATAGGAAAGATTGTCCACGATGACACACAGTTCAAACATTTTGATGAAGTTTTTTTTCTGTTCAAAGCAGAACATTCACAAACATTCAGTTAAAACCAGGATATTTCTAGTGTTCCATATCTAAAGTGTAAATATAGTACAGAAAAGGGAAAATCATTTGTTGAAGATGAATTTCATATTTGCGTCTATGTGAGCGTTACTCAGCCCTAAAAATATATATCTCAAACAATATATCAAGTCCCACACTGTAACATCTTTTATTGAATTTATTTTTTTATCTGAAAAGTTTAATGCTGTATATAACACAAGTCTATACTCAAACCAACTAACAAATTGCCTGCCTTTAAATTTGGTGCTATGACTTTTTCTGCTTTTAAAGGACAATGAAATGAATACATATATATGTATATGTTTTTGAAATAAAACTCATTCCGAGTATGTACATACAATGTTTATTAATGCAAACTTGTTCTCGTCACTATATGGCTGGAATAATGCCGATGTGACGCAAAACCCAACTCAACTCAACTCAACTATACTCCAACACCCATAGTCAACAGCTAAGGGAAACTTATATCAATTACTTCACTGGCATGCGTGGTTTCATGCGATTAAACGCTGTCTGTATTATGGGCCTATGGTCTCTTTACTGAATAAACTTTCTGTCTGTCTGTCTGTCTGTCCGTCATTTCCAGCGTGTATTTTGTACCATATTGTACACCACCAGTTCACACAGAACGCAGGCCAGTCTGTGCAGACAGACTGTGAAGTATTGCGGCTCGGACCCAGTGACTGGTGCAGCACGGCGTCTGTACATGTTGTTATTTTCAATAACGACATTTTTTTGCACTCTTAAACGCCATAAGCACATAATGTGACACCATAATTCAGACTGAGCTCTGTACACGAAGGGCGTATTACTGGTAGGTGGTGTCCCTATCAGACACAACCAGCCTGACAGCAACACGGCCAAATCTCATCTCCACACCACCTCCTGTACACAGTTACCTAACTACCTGTAATTTCTGCAACTTTTTATTTCACAAAAATGCATGTACCTTCCACCAGTTGTTGTATTTTATCATACACTATTAAGCTACTGTGACTTACACGACTAGAGGGGTAAATCTGGAAATCTGACAAAGCACTGTTACAACAAAGGAGGCTGTGTCAGACAAACCATTTAACACATGTCACGTGACACTGACGTCATGTCAGACAGGCATGTACTTGAAGTGGAACAGACCAAACTTAAACAAGTCTGTAATCACCTTAATATCTTAGAAGAATTGTAATTTTGTGAGATAAATAAAGTATGAAAGACACAAGTTTACTCACAACTACGAAATATTCTCAATTAATGAGCTGCGTCGTAAATCCACCTGTCTGTAGTATCAGAAAATAAACAGGACCGATAGTTGAGAAATGTGTGAAGACGTTTAGGCTAGTTAATATTCTTCGTTACTAATTTGTTACGAAAACTATTCGTGTCTGAATGGAAATATTCACATAAATACTGTTTGTCTGTCAGACCGGCAAACAACTTGCTTGCCTCATTGGCGTAACTCGATGAGCGCGAGGCAATTACAATCCCGTGTGGACATTCACACCTGCAGGTGGCTATTAATTCTGTATTAAAAACAAAGACATCAAGCAGACTGTCATCTCTAGTCCTTCTCCAAACATTGTGATAGCTGGTCTTCCCGGAGTAAACACAAGTAGTCGTGCAGCAAACAGCATCTTTTGATAGATGACCACAGACAGATCCCTGTTAGTGACGTCTTCACAACATATGGTCATTTGGGAAGTGGAACATCACTTATACAAACACTACTTTCCTGATGACTTTTTTAGGATGTCAGGTGGTGGATAATAAAGGGAC